GAGGGCAGCATCTCCCCCCCCCCAGCACCCCTTCATGCCCCGCAGACTCCCCGGAACACTTCTGCTCCTCGCCTGGCCGGGCTACAGAGCCTGAGCAGCCGCCGCCAGTGCTTAGCTGGCAGACCAATATCTTTCATTTCACAAAACGCCCAGCACCACCTTCCCCTGCCTCTAGGCAGTCTCCGTGAGGCTGCTTTCAAGGGGCTAGGAACTGGAGTGCGCCCTGCACAGTTGACCCCAGCAACTGCCAGCAGGGGGCACTGCTGCCTCGCTTAACCCTTAGATCCGAATCCAAGAGTTTCGGGGCCTCAGCCCCCTTCCCCAGCCCCCCTGGTCCCTCACTCTTTTCTTTTCACCTCCACACACGCCTCCCCTGCCCCACCTGTTTGCTGGACGGCCGCCGGGCACCCTCGTCCCCACTCCCGTGGGGCAGAGAAGGCAGTTCCAGGGACGCTCCTCCCAGCGGGGAGCCCTGAAGAGCAAACCTGGAGAGAAAGAGAGGCGGGGAGTTAAGAACGCCCCAGAAGGGCTGTTCCCAAGGCCGCTTGGGGGCACCGAGTCAGGAACCGGAGGCTTCCAGGGGAAAAGCAGCAGGCCCAACGCCCGCCCGGGATCGTCTCCTTCCTTCATCTGCTCTTCCCCCTCTCCCCCCCAAGTCATTCTTCTCACCGGGACAGGGGGAGGAAGGTCACGAGGATCTTGTGCCTCATCAGGTCCCGATGCAGCTCTTGGAAATGTTTGAACTTCTTTTTCATGGTCCAGGTGAATTCGCCATGCGTCAGACGGAGGGAGTAGACAGTATTTGTCCGCACCTGCCATGGAGGGAACTGAGCTGTTGGCGCGGCCTCGGAGGATGACAGATTAACTCTGGCGCACCTTCAAGTGATTGAACCAGCCCCCCTCCCCAAAAGACCCTCCTCTCCAAGACTTGCAAGCAGTGGGGCTGCTGGCGCATCAAATGCTACACCCCTAAGATAAGCCCCCCCCTTTTTGCACCAGAACAGGCTTCAGTTGGACTTTCCTTTCCAGACATGGAAGCAAAAACACCATTTACAATTTTGCAGCAAACTGGGTGGAATTTTGTTGGTGGTGTTTGTATTTAGACCTTTCCATAAAACTGGTGGGGCACAGGTATACCTTTTTGTAACCTCTGAGGTCAACTACTCTGGTTGTGAACGTGAAAATGTCTGTTTTTTGTTTAAAAATCTATTGCCATGAGATTGGGCATGTTCAGGGTAGTTGTTGATCTAGGCTTAGCTATACTGTAAAGTAAATGTTTTTTGTCCTATGCTGTTTTACTATACAAGTTGTTCCTTATAACTGTAACTCCTATCTTGGTTGGAAATAACGTTATATTTACACATGGTACTCATAGTATGTATTTTACTGTCTGAAATTTCGAAGCTATGTATGCGTCGTCTGTATTGAAAGCTTAATATTTTTTTTTTAATTTATTGCCACCATTTAAATTTCGTGGTTTCCTTTCCCAGAGTTTCAACCGAAGACACAACCCTCCAAAATGAAAAGAAATAATGGTGAAACGACTCCAGCAGTTTATGCCAACCAAAGAATCCTCTCTGGGAGACGCTGGCAATTGTCAGGGCTGGGGCTGCTCTGCAGGTCACCCGCGGGGCCCTGCGGGAACCAACCACCCCTGTGAATTCAGTCGTTTCAGTGCTTTAGCCGCAGGTGGGTCGGCCGGACTTTACGAAGCCAGGGTGGAATGAAAGGAAAGGTTTCTTCAAAGAACAGGTCAGTGACACAAAACTATATCTTCCCAGAACAACTCAACGCAATTAGAAAGAACGCAATTTGGGGAGACGGGCAGAAGTGGAAACTAGCTGATGCTGTGAGACCAGGCCAAACGGCCACAGCCAAGGAAAGGAGGTCCCCCCCCCCCTGCAGCACACCCAAAGAGCTGCTTCTGCTTTGCCCTGGGGCCCCGCTCCGCCTCGCGCCCTGCTCTCCAATGTTCTGACCAGTTTCTCGCGTTCCCTCTTCTCAGCCACACCAGTGGGCCAGCACAGGGCTCAAACAGCCATCGCTGCAACAGAGGGTGGTGGAGGAAGAGCTGCCAGCCTCAGGTGGATTGGGGCCTGCCACCACCCGAGAGGGTCAGGGACATCTCTCTCTCCAGGACAGAGCAGTGCGCACTCAAGGAGCACAACAGCTTTGGGGAGTCCGGGGTTCCTGGGAGCCCCTCCAAAGCTTCTTCCTCCTGACAGCAGATGCAGAAGCGGTGCAGAGAGAGAGAGCAACCAGATTGGGAGCGCACCAGCTCAAAGCTCAACTCAGGGCCCCTGGACAAAAATCTCTCTTCCCGAGCCCCCTCCCAAACTACAGTAGGGGGATAAATACTGGGCTACTCTGCAGGACTGTTGTACGTAAAGCCCTTGGAACACTGGAAGTTCCCATCCCCGCTCAGGCATGAAAGAGCCACATGGGTCCCTCGGAGCTCCTTGGGGGGGAAAGCAGGAGGCCGATGTCAGAGGACGAATCGGAACCACCGGGCACCCTCTTTGAGGGCCCATCCAAAGGGTGAGCAGCCAGGCAGGCAGCCAGCCAGCATTTCCGGGCTGGTCTGGATTGCAAGAGAGCCACTGGCCAGGCCTTGACCCACAGGAGCCAGGGCTCTTCACTGACAGCAAGACCTGCGTGCCCAAGCCAGGCCTGGTGCGGGCGAGGGGCAGAGACGTGGAGCGGTGTGAAGACGTCCAGGAAGCCCTTGTGGTGCACTCAGGAAAGAAGCCAGTCCTTTGCAGCCCAACCACATACCGGTCTAGGTTTCTATTGCATTACTGTGTTGAACTAGGTTTGCTGGCTTGGGGACCCGATTTGGGTGGAAAGGTGGCAGGGAAATGTTTTACAAAAAATAAACAGAAATTATGCAGCTGGGAAGGGAAGAGTTAAAGCAGCCCATCCGCCTGGGCAAAGAGGCCTGGGGAGTCAGGGAGGAGCCACGGAGAAGGGCCACTCCCTTCAGGTTTCCCCTCCTTCCAGCCCATTATGGGTGTGTGTGTGTGTGGAATGCCAAGCATGCAGGGTCACAGCCAGCCAGTTTTCTCTTTGGTTTTGTCCCCTCTAGAAACTCTATCGTCTGCAAGTGCAAGGGAGCCTAGTCCTCCTTGGCCTGTGCTGGGATACGGGAATGGAACGCACAGTGAGTTCAATGAACTCCTTTCCCTGAAAGGGGGTGTCTGAGAGAGAGGGGGCTGGGAGCCCTTCCCCAACCACACCCCCAAAGTCTCAGAAAGCGTTTCATGGGGGGGGGATCTTCTGAGGGGCATGAGCCTCCCCCCAAATCCACCCCCCCCCCACAACTCCACTCTCCTGGCCACCCACAGAGGGGGAGAGCTACCTCACACGGTGTCTGTGGTGGGGAGGGGAAGGGAAAGGAGTTTGTCAGCCGCTCTGAGACTCCTTTGGGTAGTGAAGAGCCAGGTATACATCCAATCTCTTCTTCTTCTCTTCTTGACACCAAAGGCCTCCCCGGCCAGAGAGGACGCTCCTCTCCTCCTCGGGACCCCCGAGCAGCCCCTTCTCCTGGCCAGCCTCCCCCACCAGCCAGAGCCTCACGCTGGGGGGGGGGGGGGTCAGGTTTGAGTCAAGAGGCCAGATCAAGACCCTCCACCACTGGCTCGACTCCACTAGGTCTCCGCCCGCTTGGCTCTCTGAATGGGGGGCCCCTCAAAGGGTCCCCTTCCCCTCCCGTCCCCTCTCACCTTTGAGCCCGAGGTGTACCTCTCGGTGCCCTCCACCCGGGCGGAGATGGGCACTCCTGGGAGGAAGAGTGGGCCCTGGGAGCGGAGCGGCTTGAGAGCGAAGACCCTTCGGAAGGGGGGCGGGCTGCCTGGGGGAGACCGGAAGGAAGGGGGCAGGAGTGTCACAGCCTGGCGGTGGGGCCGCCCCCCTCCCAGCGCCCTGCTCCTCGCCCCCCCACCTCTCGGGGACTGACCTGGATCCTCTCCGGCCAGGAGGCCGTCCCTCTCGGCCACCCCGCCCCGGCCAGGAGGCCGTCCCTCTCGGCCATCCCGCCACGAAGCTCCACCACATCCAGGCTCTCCCCACCGGACAGCATGGAGCCAGCCTGCTTGGGAGAACCAGCAAGAAGATCTGGGCAGGGCCTCCCAGGCCCCCACTGAGAGCCAAAGGACCCCCCCCCAGCCCCGAAGGCCCAGGATCCACCAGTCCTCCTCCCCAAAGCCGACCCCTGCTCCCCCCCTGCCTGGGGAGGCCTTGGGGGAGGGGAGGGCACCCCCTCCCCTCCCCCTTCATTACCCACACAAGGACCCCCTGCCTCGTTCCGCGGGGGGGGGGGCAGCCCCAGAGCAGAGGAGAGCAGGAAGCAGCCCCACTCCTCCACTGCCCCCCAGGGGGGCTTGGGGGTCCTGGGGGTCCCTGGCGGGGAAAGCACAGGGGAGGCCAACCCGCCACTGGGGGCT